TGCAAGAAGTATTTAAAGTGAAAAAAAAAAAAAAAAACAAGGACCTACAACCAAGATTAATCTATTCAACAAAGCTATCGTTTAGAATCAAAGGACACATACAGAGCTTCACAGATAAGGAAAAGCTAAAGGAGTTCATCACCACCAAACCAGTATTATATGAAATGCTGAAAGGTATCCTTTAAGAAGAGGAAGAAGAAGAAAAAGGTAAAGATACAAATTATGAACAATAAACATGCATCTATCAACAAGTGAATCTAAGAATGAAGTGAATAAATAATCTGGTGATCATAACAGAATCAGGGACATAGAAAAAAAAAAGAAGGCTAATAAAATAAACTCTATACATAAAAAAAAATAAAAATAAAAACTGAGAACCACTGGGAACCGATGAGTCAATGATACATTTCTCTTCATGGAAAACATTACAGCTAATAAATAAAACAAAAATAATAGAAATGTAATATCACTCATTTGAAACTCTTACAGAACTAAGGATTTAGGTTCTTGAGCATCAGTGGCTACTAACATCATCAAAAGTAACATGGTCAGACATTATGTGCCTCCTGATGAAAAACTGCAGTATCACTTATAAAGTAGTTATATCTGACAAAGGGAATAACCTGAATCTTTTCAAGTTGCCAGATGTGACTATTAAATTAGAGTAAATACAGAGAATGGGGAACATGTTAATCTTCATACACTGTGGGTATGAAAATAGCAAAATCCAGATCGTGAAATCTATGACAAGACAACACACGGCAGTACATAAATTTCAAGGAGAAAAAATAAATAAATAAAGATGGAGGGATAATCTAAATGTGAAAATGGATGTAAAAGATGTATCAGTGTGTGGGCACAATGTATGGGCCTTATCTGGATTCTGATTCAAACAGGGACATCTACAAGCAATGGGAAATTTGAACCCTGGATGGATATTTGATAATCAGTTAAGAAATTTTTGATGTTTTTAGTGTGATAATGACATTGTGGTTACATTTTTTTAAAGAATTATCTTTTAGAGATATATACTAAAGTATTTACAGATGAAATGCTATATCCGAAATGTGCTTCAAAATAATATGGGCTTGGGAAGTTGGATGAGACTATGTGCAGGAAAAGATTGACAATGGTTTCATGGCTATTGGGGTTAGATGATGGTGTTGATTCCCCCTGTCCTGTTATGTGGATGTTTCAAGTTCTCCCTAATTAAAGCTAAAAAAAAGCCAGTCATTTCTTTGTTTACATTCTACTCTCAATGTATATTTGAATATCCAATCAATTTTAAATATCCAAGGGAAGAAATTTATCAGGACTAACTTAAAAAACCAGCATATATCCATGAGCTTCATTTACTATTTACAAAGGCGGCCCATTTTTCCAGAAAAAAAAGAGAAAGTACAAAGAACAAACCTTTATTTTATTGTATCTATTTATACGCTCACTCACTTCACCTATGTATCATCTGTACTCATTGTGGCTACTGGACAGTGAATGGAAAGTCAGTCTGTACAATAAGACTGTATTCTTATAGTTATTGTTTAATTAAGTACATCATTAGTTTAATAGAACAGAAATTTACCAATATTTAAATTTACCAGCTGCCTGTTTACTACAGATAGCCAGGTAGAAAACAAAACCACAACTCTCTTCTGCTTATACTGCATTAGTCAGTTTTTAAATCAGTACACAAAATGATTTTTTCTTTTGAACAGTCTAAAATTGTGCCATCTATACTAAAAGTAATGTCAGTTTTCCTACATCCCTGCCTGCCCTTTACCTTATTGCCTTTCCATACCTTATTTTTCCATTTTCCAATGTTAGATTTCACTTATCAATTTATTTGCTATGTCTCATGTCAATAGACTTTTAAGGGAAACATAAGAACTTGCTAAAATACTAAACCTGTTGATTAAAAGGTGGGATGATGACGCATCAAAATCCTAATTTTAAATTGCTGATACTAACCGAGTTGCTTAGTTTCACCTTTTCACGATTGAATACTTTTATTGTTTCCTTCTCAAGTTCTTTATGACCCATTGTTTCTTCTGCGGGTTTCTGAAAATAATCCTTTTCTCAGGCCTTTATCTTCTGACATCCCACCGTCCACCTGCTACAACCCCAGATGTAAAGGTTACGATTCAGGGGCTTGGGCTCCATCCAGATGGAATCAGATCAGAATTTTCCCACTGGGTCCTAACACCAGGGAGGCCTGCATGATATACAACTAAGAATAATTAGCCTTTAATTAAGGGGTATTTCTTTCCTCTGTGATTGTTTTGCAACAATATCAAAACATTTATAAAATGTTTATCCTCACAGATCCTGAGGTGCATTTTCTTGAGTCATTGGCTCCTTTTCAATTACTGAAATAACCAAAGAAAGAACAAACAAACCTAAACAAGTAAATGGAAAATACATTTTCCTCCTCCTCTTATTTCTCTAGTACAGAGCCTGCTCTCGTTTATGATATTTATATCAAGATCCCCTTTGTTGCATAAAACTGATAATTAAAAGAAAAACACTTACCCAGAACAAGAAGTTGAAGACAAACATAGAATATTTTAGACAGTTATTCACACCTGCCATGTCGGAAAAGGATCAGGAATCAGATGCTGAGAATTTAGCTGTTCGTTATAGGATTGTCCGGCAATGTGCTCAGGAGTAATTTGCCTGTGGAGAATTCTGTGCCCGCGGCTTCAGAGCAGAAATAGAAAGCAAAGAAGTGAGGGGGGCAGAGGAGGGGGGGGTAATCTAGTTATTAAAGTGGATAAAAAATTAACCCACACATTTAAATATCTCAAGGGCTATCTCTAGGCGAGTATGTTCTTTTGCTTGTCATGGTTCTGGGGCACCAGGCCAGGATATTTATGGTCCTTTTTCAAAAACTGCCTCCTCTAAAGTAAACAGATATCAAGTTAAGGGAGTGGCACTGAACCCGGGAGAGAATGGCACAGTGATACTAGGTTGTTAGATTTCAGAAACCACAACCTGACTTGCCTGCCCTCTATTTTAACTATACGGAAGGAAATAAGGCTGCTTTGCAGCTTTGAGATAAAGTGACATTGTGTCTCAACTCATTTTTGCATTGCATTTTCTCAAGAATGCAAAATTTCTTTCAGGTGCAATAACATGCATTCAGAAATCGGCCCGATCTGAAGGCTTAGACATAGCAGCCTTTTATCCTTAACCCCAGAATAGTGGTAACAACCATTGCTTGTACCTGCCTTCCGAAGTTTCTCAATGTATTTCGAAACAATTTCATGGAGCTTCTTTAAATGCAGCGCAGTTTGGGGGAAGTGGGGAGGGAGAGGCTGCCCTACCTGTCATAAGAACATTCCATTTTTATCTTTATTTCTTTACGATGTAAAAAGAAAGAAGAAATTCTCAGGCGTCACTCTCTGACTCTCCTAATTGCATTCATTTTATAACGTGTAGCCATTCTGATAAGTCAGCTTGTTTTTAAGGTGGATGCTGATAAGTTATGTCTATCAAAGTTCCTCACCACCCAATTCAATTTCTGGATTCTGGGTCTCTTGGACAGAAAAAAAATTTTTTTTTGTTTTTTTTCAAAAAGAGAAGGTGGTCATAGTTCAATGACCATAGATTGTAGAGTTTGTTTCAAGTACTAATAGAAGGCAGCTGTTGCAGGTAAAGGCAAAGTTTTCTGACCTAATTAGGGAGGTGTGGACTGCTTTTGTGTAAACAATTTAGGTCATGCTAGTCTCCACATCCTGCCTCTAAAAAGAAGGATTCCCTGCCCCCACCCCTGAAATAAAAGAACCCTGTACTTCAAAAGGTTTTTTGAAAAAAAATAATTCTTTAAAATCTTTGTTATGTTCTATACAATGAGCAAGCATGAACTTCTAAAAAATGTGAATAGTTAAAAGAATATTATTCTAACTTTTACTGACATACAAAGATGCTTTTGAAACAATCCAAGTACTTGAGTATAAACATAATATGTTTTTCATGTATTAGTAGCAATAATATTTAGTGTCAAAAGCCAAATTTAGAACTAATATTAAAAAGTATTGCTTAACATTTAAATCACTAAAATTATTGGTGTTCTGTGCTATTTCCTCCTAGAAAATGGAAATTATTTTGAAATTGCTATTAAGATATCAGTACATTTAGGATTATCCATGGCTAAAAGAAGAGAGAGTTTTTAACTGAATGAAAACCCAAATGGATTTGGTTTTTATTTATCAAAAGAAACATACAGTATAGGTTAAAATACTGTTTTGTTGACAACCATGCAATTGAGTGTCTACCAAATTTCAGTTTGGAATAGATTTTTTTTTATAGGTGCTGAATCTCCTTTAAAAAATTATAGTCTTTAGTTTAAATCATAATTGAACTTTGAAACACAAAAATCAATGGATGTGTTTTTAAAGGAAAAGTACTCAATGTAATAGATTCCCCAGTCCAATTCAAAAATCTATATGAAACAGTTCACTCCTCTAAATTCTTATCCCAGTAAGTTTGAGAACACACATTTGCCCAAGCTAAATACCATAGAATCATTTTACATTCCATCTTCTTTCTTGTCTCATATCCTATCATTTCACACAATCTGTTGAGCTTCTAAATTTTCTCCAAAATCTGTTTCTTCCACCTCATTCATTCACCAGTCATTACTCAGCCTTTTGTCATCTCTTATGTGAACCATTTCAATAGTATCATAGTTTCCCTATCCTACTTCTCTACTCTCAGCACTCTAGAATTTTCTCTTTTGCTTTCCATAATTCTCCTTGTAAAATACCTACTGATCATGTAATTTTCCTGATTAGAAACCAAGCGAAGGATGCTTTCCTGTTATCTACTGGATAAATGTCCGGCTCAGAGTGACAGTGAAAGCACATGGCAAGCAGATCCCTACCCATCTTCCAGAACTCTGTCCTGCTCCTTTCTCCCCTGGCAGCCTCTACTCCTTGGCTCCAGAACCACAAAAGTGTTTCACAGGACTAGAACATAAGTTGGTATTTTATCCCTCTGCGCCATGGCATTCCTCCTACCTGGAATATCCTTTCCCACTTTCTCCACCTGGTGAGTTATTACAAACACTCCTCAGTGCTCAGTTCAAATGACACTTCACCTGTGGCACTTCCTTACCTACTCTGGGAAAACCTTGTTTCTCCATACTCATGCCCATTATAATTTGAAAAAAATAAAAATAAAAAAAAACCCTTTAGTCTAAAATTGACATCCCTTATAACACTGAGTTTTCTCTCTGCCCAATTTGATCTTTTATGCCTGAAAGACCAAAATCCTGACCTACTTATCTCTATACTGACAGCAGCTGACATTGGAGATGAAGGAATATATAACTGCAGCCAAGATTCCCAGAAAGTTGAACTAGGGACTCCTTTATAGAGTTATATGGAACTACCAACATGTTAGCACTTCCCCATAAAAAAAGTAAATATTAGGTACAGAAAAATCGTTTCTTAATTCAGGACTTGTCAAAACCTTAACTTGCTAATCGTTAAGAAGGTGACAAAGTACATAGCGATTTCCAAACAAATGTGACCTCAGAACATATTTTTGAAAATATTGGACCAGTGTTACAGCACTTACTTATAGAAACACTAACCTAGACCAACCCTCACACTTTATACATGAGAAAGGAAGCTCAGAGGGATTGAGTAGCCCAAGTTCACAACACTGGTTATTGTCAGAGCGCTTTCCAGAAAGGAGGCCTCATGGTGATCAGATCAGTATCCTTGCATCAACTATTTCTTGAGTTAAGTTCTGAGATTGTGAGTCAGTTATCAACTTACTTTTCTTGAGAAATTGTCTTAACCAATATTTAACAGTAGAAGGTTATAGTAGGGAGGGATTGGAGAGTGTTAATAATAAATCTTAGACCCAGGGAAAGACCAGGCCAGGAAGGAGAGGCAATGGAGAGTGGGATATCACAAGAAATAACTACTGAAGGAAGGAGCACAAGGAGAGTTTCAATAAATTTAGATAAAGTTTTCTTAATGCTTCCATCATGTCAATTACTATCTCTCATGGGGAATGCACTAGGAAAAGCAGGACGAAGATTCAGGTCTGATTAATCATGAAAAATCTATAAGAGGCAGTCTTATTAAACTGGGTTTTGATAGCAGTATGGGAACCCTGACAGGAAAAAGAGAGAGACTCCTTGTGCTCAGAGTAAACAGCATGAATAGAACCATCAGATACGCTATGCAAACTGGCATTTTCTCTAAGTCACAAGCAAATCAGGCTTATCTTTGAGACTTGAACTAGAAAGCAGGCATATACAGTGGTTTACATTTTCATCATGACATCATATTTCCTTCTACTAGATACACCCAATAATTCATTCAACAAATGTACTGAATGCCTACTATACTCAAGGCACTATATACTAGGTACTGGAGATATAGCAGTTTAAAAAACAAGACAAAAATATTTGCCCCATGGGGGATTTTGTTATCTATGTACACAAAGATATTGGGCAACTAGATTTCAGAAACAAAAATGTAACAATGAAGCTTTTGTTCCCAAAATCTAGTTACCCAATATATTTGTCTATGGAGTAGGTACTGAAAAAAATCATGTGTTTTAGAGGAAATATTATTTTATGTACTAGAGGCCTGGTACACGAATTCATGGGGGCAGGGGCTGCACGAGGTTGGCTGGCTGGCCTTGCCCCCGATAAGGCTGGTTGGTCAGCTCGAGTGCATGTCTTACTGACTGGTTGTTCCAGTCATTCCAGTCGTTCTGGTCACTTGGCTTTTATCCTATATTAGAGGCCTGATGCATGAAATTCATGCCCAGGGGAGGGTCCCTCAGCTCGCCGGCACCCTCTTGCAATCCGGGACCAATCCGGGACCCCTCAGGAGATGGCCGACTGCTGGTTTAGGCCCAATCCCTGGGGGACATCCCTCTCATAATTCAGGACTGCTGGTTTCTAACTGCTTGCCTGCCTGCCTGCCTGCCTGATCGCCCCTAACTACTCTGCCTGCCTGCCTAATTGCCCTAACTGCCTCTGCCTCGGCCCCTGTACCAGGGACCCAGGCTTTCCTCCTCTGGCTATCCGTAAGCATCCAGGACCTGGGCCAGCTTCACCCAGGCTGGCTGCAGGCACCCGGGACCCCGGGCGGCTTTGCCCAGGCCCCAGCTTTGTCAGGAAGGACATCCAGAATGATGTCTGGAAGACATCCAGTCTATCCAGTCTAATCAGCATAATACCCTTTTATTAGTATCCTTATATAATAAAAGGCTAATATGCAAATTGTCCCCTCTACCAAGAGTTCAACCAGGGGGCAGGGCTGGCCAGCCAACCTCCCCCCTACCGGCCCAGCCCAATCAGCTGCAATCGGGGCAGGCTGGGTGGACCCTACCCATGCACAAATTAGTGCACTGGGCCTATAGTAGATAATAAAAGGCCAGCTACCAAAAGGGTGGAATGACCAGAATGACCAGAGACCAGAACACCATGGCCCCTCGCCCAGGCTGGCCCTGCCCCCGAGGGAGCGGTTAGGGGCACTACCAGGCAACATGATAAGGTACGAGTTTGATGGGGGAAAGTCGAAGAAATAGCAGGGATGGTCTTAAAGGTCTGCAGGGTTGAGGTGGTCAGCCCGGAGTAGGTTTGGAGTGTGCTAGGGAAGGAAGAGAAAGATCCAATTGGAAAAGGCTCAGCACAGCACCTTTCTCATTGCAAACAGGGACGGCGCCAG